AAAGACTGGAAAAGCGAGCAATTAAAACAGACCTCTAACCTGTTTTATTGGCTGCCTTGTTTCTTTTCCATTCCCAGTTGATTGGGCAGAAGGTGGCTCATGCTCTGGCTGAGGGCCTTGGAGTCATTGCCTGTATTGGAGAGAAGCTGGATGAGAGAGAAGCTGGCATAACAGAAAAGGTGGTTTTTGAACAGACTAAGGCTATTGCTGGTAAGAGGAAAAATAAATGGTTGGTATGGGTTTTTTAGCCATTTTCCAGCTCTGCTCTTCCCAGTATGGGGGTGTTGTGCTCACCTCTACCTTCTCTCTCTTCCCTAGATAATGTGAAGGACTGGGGTAAAGTGGTTCTTGCCTATGAGCCAGTTTGGGCCATTGGAACTGGTAAAACTGCAACTCCCCAACAGGTATGAGCAGGGGAGGTGGCTGATTAAATGATCAACTAACCCTTGCCCCTCAGGAAACCTTCCTGAAGGTTCTTAGTGAGAATCTCCTGGAGATTCTTAGCGACTTAGAGAATATCTGTTCCCTTGTCTTTGGAAGGGAACTGTGTACAGAATGGCTCAGGCCTCGGTGTGACTCCTGCGTTGTATTGCAGGCTCAGGAAGTTCATGAGAAGCTGCGGGGGTGGCTGAAAAGCCACGTGTCTGATGCTGTTGCTCAGTCAACTAGGATTATCTATGGAGGTAAGTGAGTCTGGAGCGACTTTCCAGCGCAGAAAGTGCTTAGTTTCTCTACTTGTTGCTGCATTGTTCTCTCCCTGGCAAGGAAACTCTTGACTGTGAGAGCATAAAGAATCACCTTCTAGCTTGTTTGGATAGCTTGCTTGGATAAATGGGAGACAGTCTTGCTGTCTGCAGGAGGTGGCTGGTACCTTGCCAGTCCTGCTTTTGCCCTGGCTCCATTTTCCTAGAGCTGGCACATCTGACCTTAAACCACTGCTCCCTCCTTAGGCTCTGTCACTGGCAGCAACTGTAAGGAGCTGGCCTCTCAGCACGATGTGGATGGCTTCCTTGTTGGTGGAGCTTCTCTCAAGCCAGAGTTCGTGGATATTATCAATGCCAAACACTGAAGCACCCCATGAGGAGCTGTCCCTTGTGGTTAAGAAATGGAAGCAAGAAGGGACCTTTTGTTGCACACGTCTCAGTACGGAGGCCTCCCCGAGGCTTTCCCCCTCCACAGTCATTGTTGTAGATGTTCTGCTAACCACCCCCACCACGTCAGAGTCCTGTTAGCAGGAGCCTGTCTTGGCAGTCTCCTCTTTGAGCTGAATCCTCAGTTTCCCCTTGACCTGTTCAAGCCCACAGCCCACCTGGCCAGTATCTCTCCCTTTCCCTGCAGCCCTGCAGGGAGAGGGGGCCGCTGGTGCTGCGGGGAGGAAAAGGAACCACAGTCTTGCATCCCTCAGCTCCATCAGCAAGGAACCTGTCAGCTTAGATCCTTGTGAGATGTCTTACCTCACCTGTGTCCCGTACTGAACAATAAATGAAAAACAGAAAAAGCAAAGGTGTGTCCTGGATCTTATTTGGAAGCATCTCGGGGACAAGCAGCGTAGAGAACTTAGTGCTTTTGGAGGTGGCTGGTTGCAGAGAGGGTTTTGTGGGCTTTTCCCCGAGAGCCCACTGTTACCCCAGTAGGCACTTCACAGATTCTACCTGCATCTTGCTTCTGTCATATAACAGCTCTTCTTTGGGCCTGTGGTGATTCTGATATATCTGTGTCTATTCCAGTGGCTGCTCGAGCACCTGGCTGCTCCACCAGTGAGGCAGTCTTCCCTGGCAGGCTCAGTAATGTGCTCATCCCTGCTCTTTGCCTGTAAGGACTGGTAATTGACCTTGCTCGTTAAATGTAGAGTGGAGCAGCTCAGTCTCTGCAGGGAAGGATTTTACTTAGGCCCTGTGTTGGGGCAGTGCTTGCTGCCTGCTTTCAGCCATGTGCTGGTGGGTGAGGAAGCAAGACTTGATATTACCTCCCAGCTGCTGGGGCTTTTTTTGGTAGTACTGAGGATGATGAAAAAGAAGTGCCTGACAAGGAGGAGCTTGTTTGTGAGGCGGTGCATCCTTGGGAGCCTATGGGCAGTGTTCCAGCTGCTAGTGCCAGCATCACCTGAGGGATAAGGGGCTGGACCTGAGGAGCCAGGAGGAAAAACACTGATGCTGTGGGGACTCCTGCCCTACTGCTGCTGGGGGAGCTTCCTGCTGCCCAGCTGGATGGGAAGGATCTCCTTCCTAGGATATCAGGTGGTCTGAGAAGGAAGAGCCTGACAGCAGCAAGGAGGTGGCAGCTCTGTATGTGTGTGGAGTGATGGAGAAAGAAGGAAAGGCATTCAAAGGCAAAAAAAAAAAAGGCAAAAAAAAAAATCGGAAAACTTTTCTACCACCAGAGCCTGTGTTTCTGAGAGGCTGCCGGGCCATGGCTGTAGTCTGGGGCTGTTGGGTCACCCAGAGCAGAGCAGCAGTGATGCAGCAGGGGCACACAGTGCTCCTAAGGCTGCAGGGACTGGGTACAGTCACTCAGGGCTGGGCCACCAGCTGCAGCTCTGCTCTCAGCTCCTGCTCCTGCCCAGCCCTGCCCACAGCACAAGAGCCCAGGAGAGTGACCTATATAGAAGAAAACGGATGGGAGCTGGACATTGATCTTGCCGCTTTGAGAGAATGCAGGGGCATGAAAACATTAGTTTAATGAGGAATAAACTCATGGAAAATAATTTCTGTATCAGCAGGAATGCCAGATCTTGTTTCTCTTCTTTTTGTCTGCTTCCTGGCAGAACTGCAGCTTTCTGGAATGGAAATAATGCCAGATCCTCACAGCAAATTGTAGTGGTTGGCTGTTAAACAGGTTGCTGTTGGAGAAAAATGCACTGTGCCAGATGTGACAGCCTGAGAGAGGCTGCGATGGCTCCGCATCCTCAGCCCCAAACAATAGCCAGGCTGAGCTTGTATTCCCACAAGGCACCACACACATGTTGGACTCAATGGTCCTTGTGGGTATCCCTTTAAACTCAGAATATTCTGTGATTTTGAATATATTGCATTTAAACATGGCCATGGCTGGCCACACAGATCTATCCACGCAGAGCCCTCCCACTCAGCACTGGCAGCCTCATCCCACTCTCTGCTCCAGCTGAGCAGGACAGAGGTGCCCTAGTGAGCCTCTGTGTATTTACAGAAGTATTTACACACGTGTACAGGGTGTCTCCTTCCAGCAGCTGGGCTCAGGCAGTGCCCAGTGGCTGCCCCTCAATCCCGGCCTCTCCAGCCCCCAGCAGCAGCTCCCTGTGGTGCCCTGACCACGAGTTCCTCACGCAGGGCAAAGTGCAAAAGGAGTTTAATGAGGAGACCCGACAGGCTGCACTGATCAGGTGCAGGATGTGGACAAATCATCACAAACCATTGACACATGACTGGCCCTTTTTATTCCTGTATGCTATATTTGTTTCTCTGTGTGACCTAGATCACCCCTGGTTCCTGCCCTAATCATTCCCTAATGAGTCCTGTGCAATCTCCAAATGCTCTTCCCCTGCATCTTGTCCTGTGTCCCACACTCCTGAAGACAGCTACACCCCTAATCCTAAAGGTGCTCGGGGGCTGAGGCTCCTGGGATGGGGCTGGACAGGGTGTTCCTTTCTCTGAGTCCTTAATTTGGGATCCCACCCGCCACTGTGCTCCTATGCCCCTCAAAACGGGCCTTTATTGGGCCGATGCTCCTGGGACGGGCCTGGAAGCAGCCTGGCGGGTGCTGCTTGGGCTCCCCCTCCTGCCATTGTCACCCTGGGCTCCTCTGAGGGTGTGCGGGCCTGCTTTTAGCACATACCCTCCCTAATTATCAGTATAATTAGGTTTAGGAAATCTAAATAAAATTTCTCTAGTTTAAAGATTTGTGTTTCCATCTGTAACTAGGGAATGTTTAGGGCAGGAAGCAAAGGCAGGAAATGAAGTGTTCATATGTAGATTATTTCTTTACTCTGAGGGTGGTGAGGCACTGGAACAGGTTGCCCAGAGGAGTTGTGGCTGCTCCATCCTTGGGACTGTTCAAGGCCAGGTTGGATGGAGCCCTCGGCTACCTGGTCTAATGGGTGGCAGGGGGATTGAGACAAGCTGATTTTTGAGGTTCCTTCCAATCCAAACCAATCTGTGGTTGTGTGATAATGAGCAGGGAGTGAATTCAGATTGACTTTCAGATGTGTAGCACAGGAGAAGGGCTTGGCACGGGGGAGCCTAGCAGGACAAGGCTGGGGGCAGCTTGCCGTGCAGCCCTGAGCGCAGGGTGCTGTGCAGGAAGGGCGATGGCTGATGGCTGTGTGAGCAGCTCTGCCTGGACCAGTTTAGCCAGCACTAACGTTATCCAGGCACTGCAAAGGAGCAAAGGGCACTGAAGGGAAAGGGAGCAGAGCCTTGGACTTTGGATTAACTGCGAACCACTGCTGACCATCAGCTCTGAGTAGCATTCCTGGCTGGTAAACACCCAGTGCTGTTGGCATCGGCAGGGCACGGGAAAGCTCAACCCTTCCCAGCTCCACAGCCTGGAGGACGGAGCTGGAGCAGTGCACCCCGAAAACCCTTTCCTGGCATCCACATGCTCATATTCGGGGAGGCTTCATGCAGAGCCCAAGGCTAATTCTGGTCAACATGTTAATTAAACATTTACTGGAGGGTAAATTAATTAATTAGGCATTCACCGCCCCAGTGCCCACCACCCTGTGCAGCCCTGCCTGACTTTGAACCCGCCCCGTTCTGAGCTAGGTGCGCACAGCGGCCCCTTCCCACCGAAAAAATCCTTCGGTTCTCTGCCTACGCTAACAGCCGCAGAGATGTCACCCAGCCGGGAAGGTGCGGTGGGATCGCAAAGCGCCGGTGGTGGGGGCGGGACACGCTCGGAGCTTTCCGAGCCCCGGGGCCGCGGCGCTGGGGACAGCGGCGGGCCCGCCCCCGTTCCCATGGCAGCGGCCGGGCCTCGGCCAGCGGGCGCCGCAGGAGGCAGCAAGCGCGGCCTGCCCCGGGAGCATGGAGGACGAGGAGGAGAAGGAAGAGGGCGAGGAGAAGGAGGAGGATGAGGAGAAGGAGAAGGAGAAGGAGAAGGAGAAGGAAGATGAGGTGAGGGGGAGGCCCTCAGCACCGCCCGGCTGTGGCTGGGCCAGCGCTGGCGTTGTGCTCTCTCCTTCTCTCCCAGGAGCCGCCTCCCTGTCCCCTGACGGAGGAGCACTTCAAGGAGGGCCTCTCTCTCCTCTGTAAGACCGGCAACGGGCTGGCCCACGCCTATGTGAAGTTTGAAGCCAAAGACAAGTGAGTGTGCAATGCCTGACCCGGCAGAAGCCCCTTACTCCATGGCCATGGAGCCGCTGTGCCACAAGCTGGTGACCAGCCATGCAGGGAAGGGGCATATCCAGGCCCTGCTCTCCAGCCACCTGGATTCCAGTCCGTGCCTCAGCACAGCCTGTCCATCCTCAGCCCTGGCTGGGCACTGCCTCCAGCATGCCAGACACACCGCTGGGAACATCAGTGTCCCCCAGGCTGAGGGCAGCCTGCCCATCGCTCTGGACTGTGCCCTCCTAGGGGGGCTGAACAGAGTGACCTCCCTACAGGCACTTTGAGAAATATCCATTGACATCTGTCCTCCCAGCTGCTAACCTTTAAGGCAGGCAGCTGTAAGTACACAGGCACACAGCTGTAAGTACTGTGCCACAATGGCCTTGGGACAGTTTGGAGCCTCAGCCTCCCCAGCAGAGCCACCTAAGTAAGGCCCCATTAAGGGAGCCTGTTTCTTTCTGCAGCCTCATAGGGTATCTCAACCACTATTTTTTCCACTAGAAAAGTCCTTCCACACAGTCCTTTGTGCTGACACTATTGTCTAACAAACCCCTCCCCAAAACTTAACCTTTTCTCTGCTCTTGTTGTGGCCTGTCCTGACAGGTAGAATTCAATGGGAATAAGTACTCCCTCTGCCAGGAAAGCAGGTCCAATCTTGCCATTCATCTTTACTTACAGGCCTGTCCCTATCACCTGCCTTTTTCTTCCTTTTCTCAGCAGGGCTTTCTAGGACAGTAGAGAAGTAGGAGAGGTGGTTGCCCTCCCATCAGTAGTGTCAAGGAGCAACCCAAAAGATGGTAGGGGGGAAATATGAGAGGTATTTTATTCACATTCACTCTCCCTCAGGGGCCTGACAGACATCAGCCTCCTCGAACGCTTCATTCACCTGCGGTATGTGGATTTGTCAAAGAACAAGCTGAAAGATTTGGCCCCCCTGAGCAGCCTAACCCAGCTGCTTTGGCTGAAGGTGGATAGGAATCTGCTCACCAGTGCCAGCATGCAGGAGCTGCCCTACCTCCAAGTCATCAGCTTTGATCGCAACCACATAGTGGATTTTGAGGGCATTACTCACCCCCTCCTAGCCAACCTCAGCCTGAAAGGTGATATAGGCTACCTGTCTTGTGGGGACACTCTCTTGGAAAGGTGGGATTAACTTTCTTGTTTCTTCTTCCTCTGGCACTCAGAAAATAAAATCGAGACACTGCTGGGCCTGAGTCACGACCATTTGTTCAGCCTGCAAGTCCTGGAGCTGCGAGGAAACAAGATAAACACCACAGCAGGGCTCGGCGTTTCCAAGCTCAAGAAGCTCTATCTGGTAAGGGATCACCAGCCCGGGGAGTGGGACAGATCCCAGCACCTGCAGCCCAGGTAGCACAAAGGGAGTGGCCATGAACCAGGAATCTCAGAGGAGTCCATGTTGAGTGCATCAGGTTCTTCCCTCACAGCCTCCTGCAGGGGACACCTTTCCCTTCAGGCAGTGTTGGGCAGACTTTGTGTTCCTTGTGCCCTGGGACCACTGGAGGTCACTGGGCAAAGCAACAGTTTTGCTCTTTGGGTGACAAAGGGAGGCAATGCCTCTTTCTCTTCTCTGATGGGCCTAATCAAACACTGGTTTAAAGCCAGCACAATTATGTGATTCACACCTACAGCTGCCAAAAAAGAAATTGATTCAATATTGCAGTGAAACTAAGATAGGAGAAGCAGTTTCTTAATATCATAAACAATTACTTCAAGGAAGCATTTACTCCTAGAGATGCAAGTGAAGAAAGTATGTACTGCTTAGCCCCATGGATCACACTGTGCTACAGCTTGCAAAGACTAAACAGATGTCCTGAGTCACTACCTCTTGAAAAGCAATTAAATATCATAAAGGCTTTGAAAAACTATGTGGCTTTTTTTCATCAAGATTCCCTGGCAGAAAACACTGAGGAGATTGCTTGCTGAGATTGCCTGAAATTTTCTGATGGGAAACTGGGATTTTATGACTGGAGGTGCTCCAAGAATGGATGAAGTGGATCAGTCACTAGTTACAATACAGAATTTCAAAGCATGCCCAGTCACTTTAGTGAGTTATTGCAGGGAAGCAAACAGAGCATCTCTGCTGAGGGAACGTTCCTGGCATGACTGAGGGGTTTCTGAGCTGCCCATGTGAAACAGGAAAGTTGCAAGGGGTGATTGTTAAAACTAGAACAACTGACTCACAAGAATCTGTGGGGCTTGAATTTGTCTCCCATGTCTACCTGCCCATTAAATCCTTTTGCAGGGAAATCTCCCCCAGTAATGCTTTGGTTTCTGTGTAAAGACTTTGGTGTTATTTCAGCCTTGGGTAAGTGCAGCTGATTCCTCAAGGACAGGGTTCAAGACAAAGGGTTCAATTTAAGGAATTGAACCACATGTGGTTAATGTATGACATAGCCACAGATGAAATTTCATATGTAAAAAAGTGGTATGTGCTAGGAAGACTTACAAGTGGGTGTGTGCCATGTGGCACTTGCATCATTTTTGAGGGTCACAGTAGGGCTGTGTTAGCTCCTGCTCATGGTGCAGCAGTGGTGGCAAAGGCTAACCTGAAGAAGGTGGAGTGTGCAGGAAGGGGAGAGGAAATCATGGGCAATGTGTGGTAACTTTCTTATGAAAGACAGTGGCATCACATCTGGGTGAAGAACTGGTATCCAAGGGAAGGTGATGGCGTGTCAGACAGAATGTTGTTTGATTTAGGGGAGAAAAATGGAACAACTCTGAAAAATATTCATTCTGCATTGTCCTGCTAGTGCTGGCAAGGCTAGAACTGGTAAAACAATTCACACTGAAGTGATGAAGAAAGAGAGAGTGTTGGGAGGTTACTATTCCTTTTGTGAACCAGTGATCAGTCAGCTCCCCACCCAGACCAGCTCACGATTTTCTCTGAGGTACAATGTCCTAATCCTTCCTGACTGGTAAATCTGCTCACATGGCCTTCACTAAATATCCAACTTTCCTCTTTTTGTCCTGGTGTTACTTACTCCTTTTACTTGGCCCAGCTGGTCCAGATTCTTCTTTGTCCAGTTTCTATGAGAATTCTCCTTCTCTACAAAATGTCCACATCCTGAATGACTCAGCCTTGAAGTGTTCTCCTATCCCACCAGTTCAGCCTGTGCCCCTTTTTTAATCTCAGGTATTGCCCAGGTCAGTGCTTGGGTGCCTATGAGGAAGAGAGAGCACAAGAGCACCTCTCACCCCGTTTTCCATTCATGTCTCAGCATCCTTAGCGACTGCAGCCCCGAGGCACGTCGGCAAGGAAAGCCCTGCTCAGCTCCAGGCTGGAGAACGTGGCGGGGAGCCGATAATTACCAGGGATGCTCCAAACTTGGCCGCACAAGGCGCTGAGCAGCCCGACAGAGCAGAGCGTAGGTGCTGGCACTGCGGGGAGCCTCCGCTCGGGCAGGAGACCTCTAGTGGCCTTTTCCAGCCGAAATCCTGCTGTGAAACCAGTACCTGAAATTCAGAGCTCCCATTTCCCTGCTTCGTGAATCCACATCCCAGTGAAGTGAATGAAATTCATTGATGGGGAATTTCTCCTGAAGTAAGACACAGCCCAGAGGAGTAGAAGTGCTGTGTCCAGTTCTGGCTCCTCAGTTTGGGAAGGACATTGAGACACTTGAGTGTGTCCAGAGGAGGGCAACAAGGCTGGTGAGGGGCTTGGAACACAAACCCTGTAGGGAATGACTGAAGGAGCTGGGAGTGTTTAGCCTGGAGAAAAGGAGACTCAGAGGTGACCTTATCACTCTCTACAACTCCCTGAAAGATGATTGTAGTCAGGTGGGGTTGGTCTCTTTCACCAGGCAGCAACTGACAGAACGAGAGGACACAGGCCTAAGCAGTGCCAAGGGAAATATAGTCTGGATATTAGGAAAAGTTTTTTACTGAAAGGGTGATAAAGTTCTGGAATGGTCTGCCCAGGGAAGTGGTGGAGTCACCATCCCTGGATGTGTTTAAGACTGGATGTGGCACTTGGTGCCATGGTTTAGTTGAGGTGTTAGGGCATGGGTTGGACTCAATGATCTTTAAGGTCTCTTCCAACCAAGTCATTCTGTGAATTCTGTGAAGGGACTTCTTGGTCATAGATTTTCCCCACAAGAGAAGCAGCTACTGGAAGGTGCCTGGACTACATGGACTGTGTGACTGAGAGGGGCTGGTTACTCATCCTTTAAACACATTAATTGTAGGCTCAGGTGTACTTTCCCCTCCATGCTGTTGCTCTCTGAGGCTCAGATTTGGCACTGCCATGGGAAGGGGTGCTGTGCTGGCAGTGGAGTGTTCACATGGGGTGATTTTGTCTCAGACACAAAGCAATGCTTCAGGAAATGCTTTTTCAGCAAACTCTTGGTCCTTGAATCTGAATTCTGAGAACCCATTTGGCCAATACTCTGAGCTATCTGATTGAGCTTCAGACAAGGCTGTGTTATGAGTGGTAGGGGTCTGAAGGATAGAAAGAGATTTCAAGGCCAGAAGTAACTGTTGTTCCCTCTCCTGTGTGTCCCCATTTTCCTTCTCCCTTCCTGCCTCCCTGGTGCTCAGGCCAAGAACACCATTTGCAGCCTTGAAGGCCTTGAGGAGTTTGAGCAGCTGGAGATTCTGCACCTGCGTGACAACAAGCTTGAGGCCCTGGATGGATTCTCTGCTAGCATGAAGTGCCTGCAGTACCTCAATCTACGGTGGGTCCTCCCTGCTCTGTGCTGGGACCAGAGATCCCTTCATCAGACTGCACTCCCATTTAGCTCTTTGGGATTTTCTGGGGGTGTTTTTGGAAGGTGAAGACCTGGTAGGAATGTGTTGATATTTACCATCCTTAACTTGCATTCAGCAGCTGTCCAGGCTGTAACAGCCAGGGCCTTTCCTGGGCTTCTTAGAAAATATCAGCCTCTCCAGTCATTCTCATACCCCACCTCAGGATTTTCATTCCTTGCCATAAGTCAGTTCTCTGTGTTCTCTGTGTTCTGCCTGCAAATGCCCTTTAGTTCTCGGTGTTTGCCATGGTGATGTCAAACAGTTCAATGGCTGGCTAAGCACGGAGGAATCCGGAGGAGATGTCCTTTTTGTGCCTCAGTCTGGGGAGCTGCAGACAGATCTTGGGTGGATCTTAGGTGACAGACCTGTGGTCTAAGGCCTATGGTACCTCATGCTGCTAAGTTTTGCTTTTTCTGTCATGTCCACTTCTTGTTCCAAAGGGATTTCACTACTTGCACGGGTCTCCTTGCTCTGCTCTCTGTGCTTCAGGAGCAATGGGATCAAAAGCTTTCAGGAGGTGGGAAAGCTGCAGGTGCTGCCCATGCTGCAGGCGCTGGTGCTGATGGACAATCCGTGTGCCCAAGAACCCGATTACCGGCTGCAGGTCCTGTCCCGGCTGCCACGGCTGCAGCGCCTTGACAAGGAAACGGTCGAGGAAGAGGAGCGGGAAGAGGCCGAGAAAATCCGACAGACAAGGAGGGAAAAAGAAAAAGAAAAGGTGAGAAAAATGCTGTGCAGGGACTAGAAGGAGGTGGAGAGAAAGAAAAAGGACCAAGCATGCTGATAAAGCCTCTCCTCCACTATATTACATTATTACATGAGGAGAAGGGTGAGGGATGTCAATCTCAAGAGCACAGGAGGCTGAAAAAGAGGCCAGGCTTTGCAACCTGGTTGTGGTGGCCAGCGTGCCACCCTGCTGCCATTCCTGACCCCACTAGCAAAAGAGGGCAGTGAACGGGGAAGAGACATTGGGCATGGAGTCGTTAACTTCTCCCTCCTCCCTTCTTCAGGAAATGCAAGAATCTCTTGAGGATACAGTGCCTGAGTGACCCGTTTTTAACACCTGTTCCCAGAGGCTGTCAAGATGTAGTGATGCCTTTCCTCATTTGTGAGGCTGAGAAAGCGAGAGCTGTAGGTACCAGCTTCACCTCGTTTCACCTCTGGAGAAAAGAGGAGTGCTACCCACCCTGGTCCTGGAAGTTGCCCTGAGGCACTGCAGTGTTTTTGCAGTCACTGCACTGTGTTCTATTCTCAGTAGGACTGAGAGGGGAAAGGGGAGAGTTACAGGTCCTGCAGTTCAATTTGATTCCCAAAAACCCTGCAAGATTTTCTGATTTGAATAAAAATAATTAATGAGCCTGGAGTGACTGGGATTGTTTATCCTGCACACCCACTCCTATTCCCTGGCTCTCTCACCCTCATCTGTCTACGTCTATCCCTTGCTGCCTGCCTCTCTCTGTCTCTCCATCCCCTACGTGCTGTTTGCAAAGCTTTGCTAAATCCTGACTCATCGCAGCTCTGGGTCACATGCTGCTGTCCCGGCCCTATCAGGGGCGTCTCCATCCTGCTGCTGCCGCCACCGTTGGCTTAGAGGACACATCATCTCCCCTTGAGGTCCTGCATCCCTCCTCAGCTTCGTCCTCTCTCCTTTCTACCAGCACTTTCTCAATTTTTCATCCAGCGCTGCCCTAGGAAGGTAAGTGTCTCCCCAGGGCCAGCACACCCTTCACTGCGTGCATGTTTCTGCTGCCCCCCTTGTGCCCTCCAAACCCCACACGCACTTTGGGGTCCCTGCGGAGAAAGACCACGGCGAGCGGCATTAACAACTCAACTCCCCTCGCTTCCTCCCCCTGCTCCTCCCACCTCTGTCTCCTCACCCCCATCCTTCTGACTTTTCTTTCATATTTTAATTTCAGGTACTCCCTCCTTCCCAAGCCCCCCCTTTCCCCTCCCGGCAATCATCATTTCAGACGTGAGCCCAGGGAATTGCAGGAGTGGGGGGGCGACCAACGGGGATAGGTGGTGCTCCCAAGGGCACTGTCGGGAGGTGCTGCGGGATGGAGCTTTCCCCGGGGGAGGGGTGCTGGTGGGGAGAAGGCAGCGCTCCTGCCGTCTGGGCACGGCTGGGGAAAGGATCCAGCCTCGGAGCGGCCCCCCCAGCCTCCCGAGGTGTTGACATAAACACGGGCGCTCAGGGAGAGCGGGGAGGGAGGGAGAAAAGGGGATGTTTTCCTATTTGCACAGCCCCACACCACAGGGGGGGGGAGAGCAGGGAGAGGAGTGACAGTCAGGCAAGCAATAGCTGCATCAGTCACGACACTGCAGCAGTGCGGGCTTCCTGGGAGCAGTGCCCAGCCCGGGGGAATCGCAGTAGCACACGGGACTGGTGGGAAAGGTCTCCACCGTGCCGGCCCGGCAGGGACAGGGAATTGCTGCCAGCGCCAGCTCCACAGGAAGGCATTGCAGCAGCACCAGCCTCTCAGCGTACGGTGCCCAGCCCCTCTTCACGGGGGATGCACAGCCCCCTCTCTCTTCCTGGATGTGGTCTGTGGCTTCCCAGCTATGGCTCCATCCCAATCCCTTATCCCAGCTTATCCGCCTCTGACCTCCTTTCAGGCCAATGCAGCTGATAGCAGGGATTTCAGGGTGCTTCTGTTCAAAAGAGAGCAAACGCAGGGGACACGGGGCAGCAACACAAGTGGAGAAAAGGCTTAAAGGACTACAAGGGAGAGAAGATCATGTAAGTGATGGGGTGGGGCAGGCAAGGCTGGATTTGGGCTTGTCATTTGGCTTCCTCGGGTCTGGCTCCAAGAGGGGCAGGTGGATGTGGCCACAGGGATGTGACCATGGGCAACGTGACCAGATAAGCAGAGAGCCACAGCATCTGGCACGGCTGTGCTGTCAAAGATGACTTTAAGCGGGGTCCTGTCCCTCTGTACCCCGTGGAGGCTGTTGAGGCACGGCCAGGACACTGCTGCAAAGGAAGCTCACGGCTGGCTACGCCGGCACGACTCTGGAGGAAGTTCCTGTGGCGTGTGCCAGATGGCGTGAGGAGCACTGCCAAAGCGGCTGATGGGGGATCCCAGCCCAGATGGACATGGTGGAGGGCCCTGTGCAGGCTCCAGGGAACCCTGGAGTCACTGACAACTCCCCACAGGAGAAGCTCTGGCTGAAGCTTCAGAGCAGCAGCACGATTTCCTCACGCCCTTGTGATTTCCACCCACCTGGGGTGGTGGCGTTGGGCGCTGGCTCCGGCTTCTCCATCCTGCTTCTCAGCTCCCCTTGGTGCTGGGATGTGCTTGTTCAAGCTCATTTTCCCCTGCCCTGGTGCTGAGGCCCTGGGCTGGCTGTACCCTTGCTCAGACATGCCATGGGGATGTCCTGGCTGAGGCTCCATGGCTACTCTGGCCTCTCCCAGCCCTCCTCAGGGCTGAGGCAATCATCTGTGGGAGCCAGGGGAGGAAAACTTGGCAGTGCTGGGAGCCTGGGGGGGACACACACCTCATTGCAGCACCCCAGCATAGCACAGCCCCACAGCCAGGGGAAAGAGAAGGTGGCATGAGGAGCTGATTTGGAACCGCTGGAGGGCAAACTGCAGCTAGAGAAGCTGTTTCAAACAGCCATCATTACCCACCAGCATGTCTTCTACTTCAGGTTTAACCAGGTGCCCCAAAATGCTAGGCTTCCTCACCCCCCCACCCAACAGAGATCCAGCCCAGCCTCATCTGCTTCCCTGCCTCAGGAGCAGAGCAAAGGGTTGGCAGCTGGGCCAGGTGTCCCCTCTCTTCAGAGCCCTCTTTGCCACGTCTGAGGCATCATGGCCTCAGCAAGATGGCTCCTCAGGCTGCCAGGCCCCATGCTCCTGCTGCCTTGGCACAGCCTGACCCAGCAGCTCATGGGGACACGGGGACACTGAGCAGGCACTCGGCACGGGGGACATGGCTGGGGACTGGGACAGCTAGGCTGGGATGGCTCCCCTGCCGTGGGCTGGAAAGGGGCTGGGCCCCCCTGGCTGGCTGCACCTGCCCTGCCCATCACGCTGGGCTGGCTCCCCTGTGCTGCACAGGGACACAGGAGCCACTTGCTGTCTGGCTGGCAGGCGCTGTCCTCGCCTCCCGGCAAGGGGACAGGAGATGCCAGGAGCTGCTGCCCTGTCCTTGACACCAGAGCCAGGGGCACCTCCCTGCTGTGCCAGCTGATCCCTCCCTCTCTGCTGCCATCGCACCCTCCCCATCCCTGCCATCCGGGCTTGAGTCGGGCGCTGTGCTGTGACGCAGGGAGAGGCAGAGTGCTCCTAGTTGTCAGCTGCAGCAGAGGGACAGAGTAAATTCAAATAGATAGCCAGTTCCTGGAAAAATGTTCGTAGATTCCTGTAGTCTGGGTGAATTTCTAAATTTCCTAGGGCAAATAGTTTTAGCCCAAATTTCTTAGGTCATTTTTCCTTGAATTCCCTTCTCTCTGTCAGTCTAGACATAGAAGGTGTGAGCACCACATCCTGGAGCCTCTCAGAGCTGAACATATCCTGTTCTCTCCACAGACTCACCATGGCGGTCGAGAGGATCCATGCCCGTGAGATCCTGGACTCCCGTGGGAACCCCACCGTTGAGGTGGACCTCTACACACACAAAGGTATGGGGGTGAGATAAGGGATGGAGGGCAAGCCCTGCCCACCCTGGCAGAGCTGGTGCTGTGCAGCAGCCTGGCACACCAGGAGCATGGAGGCTCCTCACCGGTGAACCCCAGCAGAAAACAAGTCAGGGGAAGAGGCAGAGACCAAAACTCTGCCTGTGCTCAGCAACTGTGCACACGCGCCAGGCAAATAAAAAAAAGACAGCTGGCTGTCCTGCATGTGAGCTGAGCCACGTGCCCACCCATAGCAGGGACTGAAGGTGTTTCTATCATAAATGTCTGCACCTTCTCATGGTACCCCTGCTGCAGCTGTGCTTTTAGTCCTGGGGCACAGTAGATGTTTGGTAGCACATCTATGGCCATGCTCATGGCAGGCGTAAAGCTTTGTTCCTGAGATCTCTGTGCAGCTATGTTCATGTGTGGGGCTCAGCTGGAGGAGCTGCATTTGCATGGGGCCCAAAACTGCTTGGGCTGAGGGGTGAGGAGCAGTGAGAGGCCAGAGCAGGCACGCAACCATTGTCTTCCTTCTTCAGTGAGGCAGAAACCTCAGTCTGAGGGGGAGGAAGCTGAGGGTGGCTGTGAGTCAGGCTGCTTCTCGAACTAGGAGGAGGGCTGAGGAACTTCCACCCATCACACATAGTTCTGGGATCAGTGTGAATCTCTGGGTGCCTGATATCCAAGTTCCTCAGCCTGGAAGCCCTGGGTGCCATTTATTTCTTCCACTGAGGTGCTCCCCCTCTAGGGAGACCAGCCATGAGCAGCCAGCCAGCAAGGCCATCCATTTGCACAAGCAGTTGCTGCATCCTTCCCTATGAAAGCAGGGCAGAAGCAGGTGCATGAGGGCTTCTCCTCTTCACCCTCTGCTTGTCTCTCACCCCTGTTTTGCTGTTTCCCAGGCATGTTTCGAGCAGCCGTCCCCAGTGGAGCGTCCACTGGTATCTACGAAGCGCTGGAGCTGCGAGACAATGACAAGTCACGTTTCCTTGGAAAAGGTGGGGAGATGCCTGCTCCACAGCTCATCCTGTGTGTGGGGCTCTGCTGGAGGGCACTGCCCAGCCACTGGTGTGACACAGATGTGTCCCTCAGGGAGACCACAGAGGCACAGAGCTAGCATAAAGTGAAAGATCAGGCCTCGATCTTCCCTTGCTGTCTCCCCCTCTCAGTCTCTCTATCGGTCCTCTCCCTCCCTCTTTCCACTCTTCTCTCTGCCTCACTCTCTCTCTCTCTCTCTCTCTTTCTTTCTCTGCCTCTTCCCTTCTTTAGGGGTCCTGCAGGCCGTGGACCATATCAACAGCACTGTCGCCCCAGCTCTCGTGGGCTCTGTAAGGATTTCTCTTTGTTCTCCCTTGTCCAACGCTTACTCTGGTCCGTCTCTGTCCCCTGATCTCTGTCTCTGCTCTCTTCATCTCACTGGGTTAACAGACGCAGCGATGCTCTCTGTGAACCTGGGCACACCCCTCCTGCCCCCCATGCCTGTGTGTGTCCACAGCAATCTTTTCTCTGGGAGGAAAGGATTTAACTCTTCCTGGTCCACTGCAACATCTGTGCAGCCTAACCCGTCCCCTCAGTGCTCCCAGAGCTCACCCCCTCCTTCATTTGTGCTCCCCCTCAAGCACTGAATCACAGCCACACGTCTGTGGCCTCATCCTGGTGTGATGAGCAATGGTTGTACCGTGCAGGGTCTGGCACAGCTTGCAGAGCAGTGGTGTCACATCTGCAGCCTGTTTACACCTA